CATTAACACAATGGAATTTAAATACATTATCAATTGAAAAAACCTATCAATTAGATATTATGACCAATTACGATCACGTACTTTATCAATACACTTTTAATAAAAATTCTACATTACTTGCAGTATACTCAAGATTATTTGATGGCATAACTTTTATCAATGGAATTCTTTATATTTATTTTGTAGAAAATTCAATGCTTTTATCAAAGTGTAAGTTATTTAAATTTGTGTACCATTGTTTGATTTCTGTATAATTTTGATATTTTGAATTAAATAATTAAATCAGTGGTGTTTATCTACAATTGGTATTTGATATACTAAGCAATAACTTTAAATTTTTTATATAACCCTAAAACTAACTTTACGTAAGAATCGTAGCAGAAGTTTTTTTAAAATACCTGTAGTACAAACATCACTGGTTAGTTATTATAGTTTTACTTATAATTATAATTAATTAATAGATAAAATTCTAAAAAAAGTGCAGGATTTTAGATTTATTTCATTTGATGAAGAAGAAAGGTTACTTTTATTTTATGATGATGATAAACTTGATATAAGAGATCCTTACAATCTTCAACATTGTATTGAGAATGAATCTATTTCAAATCTGTATAAAGAATTTTTAAACGATAAGGCTTCAACAAAATTTGATATTTCTAGTGAAGAATTTAAAACATTGATGGATACAAAAATATATTACATGTTAGAGGGATGTTTATGGGTTCAAAATATTTCTAAAAAACAATGGAATGAATATTTACAAAAAAGATTACAGGGTTCTGATAAAATAAGAGTTCTACCTAAAAAATCTCAAATAGAGGAGATACTGCATATTTTATTACATAATTTTTCTGCCAATAAGTATTGTTGAAACTTTAAGCAAAATGCTAATAGTTCTTGCCTATATAATTGCATTAACGTAGTATCTTCTATATAATCATCCAATAAGTTATCTAGCAATTCTTTAAGAAGTAATCGATGGTCTTTTTCTGTATATGATTGTCTACCCTCATAAAGAAAATCAAAATCAGGAGCTGGTAATGAACTTCTTTTATTGTTTTGTATCTTATTTAATAAATCTAAAAAGCATGAATTTTTTACATCAATGTAAGTGTCACGATCCCCATAGGACATATAATACAATACTTGAATTTTTCTGATTTTTTCATCTTTTTGCCAAGCTGACCATATAAATAAGCCAAAGAATGTAATCACTGCTAAATCGTCATTATGCAACAAATGACAACAACAAATATACATAGATGCTTCCAATGTTAATTTAGAATAAATTATCGAATCTTCTAATTTTATACTATCTACATCTTCCCAAGCATTTGAATCAAATTTTTTAAAAGCACGAATTACATTTTTCTCACTATTTACTTCCCATTTCACTAATGATCCTTCATAGAATTTTGTTTCCTTTA